TACACATTCTAATCACTCTGGGAGCTTTGAAAAAATGTCTGGGCCCAATCCCAAAATCTCTTTTAATTGGTCTGGGTTGAAATCTGGTCAAGTCTTTATAAAACGTTACCAGAATAAATCTAGTGTGTAGTCAGGGTCTGGTATACCTTAGTAAAGCGTGGCTCTGACTCTGAGTGAGAGGGGAAGCCACTGAAAGATTTTGCACAGAATGACACAGCTTGACCACCCTGGCATGTGCCTCTTCCTCACCCACATTCCCCTCTGGACCCTACGATCATGCCTTAGTATGAAGCTTGGGATCCTGCCTCACCCTTTTAGAGAAGAGAGTGAATGCGACCTAAGCAAGCTCTCTGGGCACTTCACCTGTTCTGCCTCTGCCAGGTTGTCTGGGTAAGTGTCAAGGATGTAATAGAAGGAAAAGAGGAAGACTTCTAGGAACAAGAGCCCCTCCTGTCCCCTTCCAAGACAAGTTGGAGACAGAGCTCCTGCCTTTTTCAGTTTGCTTCCAGCAGGCAATCCCTGGGCCTCCCTCCCAGTGTTAGTCACAGTATTTACTGATTGATTTAAGAACCAATAAGTGGTGTATGTCACTTCTGCTGATCCCTATGATGAAAATATTAAAACTCCTGCACATATGTCATATATGTAACCTAGTACCCCAAACCTTGCAGTCATGTTCTGTTACCATAAAAGATATGCTCAGAAATAATATAAGCCTGCTATCTAAATTGCGCCTTTTTTCCTTTGAAGTAACAGTATAATGTAGTTGTTCAGACTGGGAACTCTGAAACTGGCTAATTTGCATTCTGGTTCTAACACTAGCTAGCTGAGTGACAAATCCATTGTGTGCTTCAGACAATGGTGTCAATAAGGCTGTTGTCAGTCTGAATGAGTAGATACATATAAAGTGCTTAGAAAAGTGCATGACACATATTTAGGGCTCAAAAAAATCTAAATATTAATGTGTCTATAGTTTCCTTCTTGATTTAATTACCACACAAATGAATCTCTCTTTAATTTTATCAATAGCATAGGAGACTTCTATATGCATAATACGTCTTTTGGTAGCATGTTAGGCACATTCTTCTCTGTTGTTTAATTGCTAAAAACATAAAGATGCTACATCTTAAGTGGAGTAAATTTCAATTGAGAAAAGGAAGGTAATCTCAAAACAGTTTTAGAAAACAAACAACCCATTTTATATCATTGCTGTGCAAAAATAATTACTGGCAAAACTCTCTAATTCCTGGCCTTCTCATGGTCAGAAAGAACAGCAGCCTCTTTTGGACAAGCTGAGGCTGGGAATGTAAAGAATTAAGAAGTGAACAAGAAATGTTTTCAACATATTTATCTAGAGAACCATCTAGAGAAGTGCCTGCTTTGCCAGCAAAGATGAAAATCTGAGATTCCATTGTGGCCTCCCAAACTGCTCCCCTAGCAGAGGTTACAAGATTTAGTGGATGATGGTGGGGGAGGACGATAAGCGGGGAGGTTACACAGTTTCATCCTCACAGGAAAGGGACTACTTGGACTCACATTATTTCTCTAACTTTCTTTATGCATAGAAATGTCTCATCTTTGTTTCATAGGATTCAGAAAGCTAATAAAAACTTACTGGAATATGAAAATATGATGAAATATTTATTGAAAATGCAAATGTGATACTTACAGGTACTAGCAGCCCTAAAGGCACCAGAAAGCTAATGTATCTTTATTCAAGGGGAAGGCTTTACTTCAGAGCTTTATTTGAGCTTAACACCCCACTTCAGTGATATCTAAATAAAAGTGAAATAGAAAATGCCTCTTAGGAAAGAATGCCCTAATTTCAGCATTTCTCTCATATTAATTTAGAGGTCTCATTTTAACATTGCCCACAGGATAAAGTCTAAATTTCTCAGCTGCACAAGCTGACCTCAATCTTTTCTGCATCTTCTTCTACCCCATCTCTACAGTGGCCCTACCTCCATCACTTCTTTTCAGGAGTTAGTGCATCTGAAAGGCACACTCATTTCTCTATATCTTTACTCCTAAAACAGTTTGTTCAGTTTTATTTCTGTTGAAATTTTGCATATCCTTCAAAAGTCAGTTCTCTTGGATGATTTTCTCTGATTCCCCAGGTCTGGAATTATAGCTTCTTCCTTTGCTCTCTCAGTTCCTTGTTCTTCATTTATTGCCCTGAGTTAGTTCTGCCCACTGTTTATCATCCTTTTATCATAATAAACAGTTAGCTCTTTCGGGAAAGAGTACAATATTTCTTAGTCATATGTGTTTGGCATATATACAGTACCACATATAGACCAGAAACTAAATACCTGTGAAATGAATGAAACACAAAGACCAAAAAACATTTCCAGAACTAGAACGTACTTTCTCGAAATCCCTGCATGTCATCTCTTTATCTCACAGCCATTTGTACTGCCACCCTTCTTTGTATGTCTTCTATGACGTCTAATTATGACATTTCTTGCTCAATTAGGAGCATTTACTGCTCCAAGTTGACCCTAGGACAATAATTTGACCTGAATGAGATCAAATTCAATCTTTATTCAATGCCCTTCAAGATCTGACTTATGCCATCAGCAAATCTCATGTCACTCCTCTCCTCTCACTCTGTAACATCCATACGAAATTTCTGTTCCAGAAATGGGTTTTCTGTGTGGAATGCCTTGTTTTTCCCTTTTCCTCCTCTTCATCTTCCATTGGCTGGCTACTCATGCACCAGATTCTAGATAAGATGTTGCTCATTTTGGAAATTATCCCTAGCTTCCCACACCATCTCCAGCCCCAGATTAGATAAATTCTTTCTCCTTAGTGATCTAATAGCTAACAGTTAGATATCAGGAAGACTTGGGTCAAGATCTGAAGCTATTGTTACTAGTAATTTTAGACATTTGCAAACTTTAGCTTATTAAGTCATAGATTTTAGACATTCGCAAACTTTAGCTTATTAAATCATAGATCACTGGGCCCCATCCTCAGAGTCTCTGAATCAGTGGGTCTGGGATGAATCTCAAGAATGTGCTTTTCCAACAGCTTTCTGGGTGACACTGATGATGCTGTTCTGAGGAGCACAGAGATAACTGATGCTTTCGATAATTTATTCATCTACTTTTGTTTGCCCCTGTAAACTTTAGTTTCAGCATCTGCAAAGTGAGGCTAAAAGGAGTGTTTAAAAATTAGTTGAGATAACGTATGTGAAGGGGTTGACATGAATTAGGGCTCAATGACAGTTAATATTGTTTTTGTTTTATCATTGCTTTCATAACACTGTGTTGAATTCCAAACTGAACAGATCGTGCCAAGTAAGCTGAGAACCCCCAAAAGAACAAAGATTGGTTTTATTATTATTGTGTCACAGGTGTCTTATGAAGTGTGTTAATAGTCAGTAAATAAACATACAATGGAGTGAATTCAAATACAAGCATTCAATAAGTATTTAGTGAAACAAATTTAATGCTTCTTGTAGGTAGCCCCTACCTAGAATGTTCCAGATTTCTCCATTTAGCTCACTTTATTCTTGGTATTCTTGGGACTGTTTTGTTGATTATTTCCTAAATTACTTTTTGGTTATGGTGAGTCAGTCCCCAAGCTTTCCTTTCTAAGAAGATTATACAAGCAACAGAAAGAACTTCTTCCTGTAAAGAACTAGAAATGAATAACCACGTGGGCTATTCATTTGTCTCTGTAGTTTCGGTTTCATACTGAATGAAAGCAATTGCATAAAAGTATTCCCTTGCCTTCTGTGCTTGAACATATGTCTTTACTTAACAGTGGATATGGGTTAGAAATTAACATGTGAAGAATTTAACTTTCATTTCTTTGCAAATTTATGAAGCCTCCTCTTTGGAAAAGCCTTTCCTATTTTTACTGTCAGTCTATACCCCTTTGACCTCAGAACCTCGTTTTTGGTATTCATATATTATTAGTTTGGCGAGTATTTTTTTCACCAAGTGCCATGTGGCAAGCACTATTTTTATGGTGGTGATGCGACACTAAAACAAAACCCCTGCTTCACGGAGCCTAAAGCGTAGCATTTATCGACTTGCACTGTAATTGTTTGCTTCTCTGTCTCCTCCCCTGCTAAGTTTCAGCCTCCTGATGGCAGATGCAGTATCTAATTGAACTTTGAGTCTCCCCCTCAATGTCTAGTATATGGTAGACATTCATATCTATGGATAATTATTATTTACATACAGAGACCCTTCATTATACTGGTGTGAGAAATGGAACTGAGCACCAGAGATCATATAATGCTTGTCCTTGAAACAGTTTGGCACGAGCTGTGTATTCTTTGACTTCCAAAGTGTTAGTTTGAATTTTAATTAGGATCAGCCAGTAAAATGTGGGAGATTTTACATAAGAATCCAGATTTCCAGCTTCTCTTGTAAAAGCCCACATTCCTGTATCACACAATGAGCTGAAGCTGTGGCTGGTCCACCTGCTTCTTGAGATGGGGCATGCCTTCTCCATTTCACTACAACCCTTACCATGCCCTATCATTTTGCACATGTCGGGGAGGGGCAGGGGGGTGATGTGTGGTGAAGGGAGAATGAAGTTCTTCCAATTCTTCATAAATTTACTGAAAGTGTGCGTTCATAAGCTTATAGCAACCTAACTCCCAACACTGTAAATAATAACTTACTTTTTTTCCTTCAGTGATGTGGAATGCTAACAAGCATTTGTTTACATTTGAACTATATATCATATTGAGTAAGCAATCTAAATTTTGTCTGTTGTTTTTCTGCATTTTCACAGTAGGTTTCTTGTATTTCTCAAATTAAATAATTGCCAGCTACATTCTACTGTAATGTGTATCCTAGTCCAAAGTAAAAATATATCTAAATCTATCTGGTTTAGAATTCTTTTCCTCCTTTTATGATTACTGAACTAATTCTTTTTATTTGTCTTGGTTTTGTCATTTGAGACTAGAATACTTAAAAACATAAAATTGAATTAAAATTATAGTTTATCCAACTAAATATATTCGTGCTTTGTTTCAGTTATCCTTAAAAAGAAGAGGAAGCAAAGATTTGCCAAAATCTGAAAAAAAGGCTCAACAGACTCCCACAGAGGTATGTGGAAATAAAATTTCAACTAGTACATCAAGTACCTCTAAGTGTATATAATAATAAGCTACATTTATAAATAGATATAATGTCCAGATAAACTTATGGAAAACAAAGTCAAATTTGCTTATCAATTATGTAGTTGTGGATACAGGCAGTATAAATCAGGATATTTACTAATAAAGCCAGCCGTAATATCCCTATTATAATTGCTTTACATTGTAAGCACACAGAAAAATGTCATTCGTACTTTATACGCTGCTGTATTTGAGAACTATACTCATGATGCTAATCTTGTCCTTTTATAATTAATAAGGTCAATAGAAAGGCTGTTCCTATAGTGTCAGGAGAAAGTAAAGAAAGGAATGTTACAGAGGGAAGTCAGAAGGGAGAGAAAGGCTCGTTATATCTTTAGAGACCCCTGGAATGAAGTAATTCTCCATACCAGTGATTGGAGAAGCAAAATAAAGGAGACAAAGGAATAAAAATGAAAGTTGAAAGATGTACTCAACATGGGCTTGTTAAAAACCTTAGAAACACAGCCACAGTAAAGACTAGCTCTGCTTCCAAGGTAAAAAGAGGTACCAATGGTTGTAATGAAGAAGATTTTAAAATGGAAGGGGAAACATTTGGGATAAAAGTGACACTATTGTTAAGGAAAGGGATCCCGATCCAGACCCCAAGAGAAAGGGATCCCGATCCAGACCCCAAGAGAGGGTTTTTAGATCTCACGCAAGAAAGAATTCAGGGCGAGCCCATAGAGTAAAGTGAAAACAAGTTTATTAGGAAAATAAAGGAAGAAAAGAATGGCTACTCCATAGACAGAGCAGCCCCGAGGGCTGCTGCTGGTTACCCATTTTATGGTTATTTCTTGATGATATGCTAAACAAGGGTGGATTATTCATGCCTCCCCTTTTTAGACCATCTAGGGTAACTTCCTGATGTTGTCATGGCATTTGTAAACTGTCATGGCACTGGTGGGATTGTAGCAGTGAAGATGACCAGAGGTCACTCTTGTGGCCATCTTGGTTTTGGTGAGTTTTAGCTGGCTTTTTTACTGGAACACGTTTTATCAGCAAGGTCTTTATGACCTGTATCTTGTGGTGACCTCATATCTCATCCTGTGACTCGGAATCCTTAACCATCTGGGAATGCAACCCAGTAGGTTTCAGCCTCATTTTACCCAACTCCTATTCAAGATGTAGTTGTTCTGGGTCACATGTCTTTGACATTATGACTCTCCAAAAGCACTTGGCTAGATGTTAACCTTTAAACTATGTCCATTGGATTCTATGGTACTGTAGTATACTTTTATGATTACAAGGTTTTTTTCACATTCGATAGATAATTTAACTAAAGTGATTTTAAATATTCAAAATTTGAAAAAGTTCATCTCAGACATTTTTTAAAGCATAACATATTAACTGTATATTATTTTCCTTTTTCCTCTCTGTACCTGCTGTATTCCTGCTCTGTTTTCTCTGGTACTTGCACCAGAATGTGTATAGACCTCAGCACTTTTAGAATCCCAGAGAGTCTCACAGCCAAGACCATGATATCATTTTTCTGTACCTTTCTCTCTGTTCCCTTAGTAAGTCCAAATATACTCTGTCACTACAGCTTTTCCACTCTGTCTTTGCTGTCACTTTATTCAACTCACTCTAAATATTTTGTTGTGAATCATTTCACGTGTTGCCATGAATCTTCTTTCCTACCTTGTTTATGGAGTAGACACTGTATCTACATTTTTCCTATTCTTACACTTTCTGTGTTGAAAGTTTATTTATTCTTTTCAACCATAGTCTCTGATGCAGGAATTCTTAACCGTTTAGTCTTGGCTTTATGGACCTCCACTCGCTATGCATGTGGGCAACTTTCTGCAAAAACATCCACAACTTTAATCAGTTTCTCAGTGAGGCCTGGGACCTTACAAAAGTCAGGATGCCATGCAATCCACCAGTTTGCCCAGTTCGCCCAGTTTTCATGGGCAAAAACTTCTTATTTATATATACTGCAGCATTTGAAGTTTCTGCTATCATTTCCAACACATCTATTTTCAGAGCTTATGACCTGTCACTTTTCAAAAACCCACCCTAGGAGATGGATCAGGCTATCTCCGACGGGATATCTCAATTATAAAATGGTCCATTTTTACAAAATTATAACGCGATTCCAATGTTCAGTCAAAGTTGCAAGCCATTGATCCACATATTTGAATTACTCAAAATATACCATTCTATTGTAATTCTTGTTTATGCATTCATCTCTCCTACTTAGCCAGGGCATTTTTGTAGACAGGACTCATCTTATTCAGCTTTGAATCATCTGTGTCTAGTGATTGGCATTCTGCACATGTTCAATACATGCTTTTAAATATTCCTGTGTCTCCTTTTTCTATGTTAAACCACACAAAATTGCCAACATGCTATTGATCTACAGAAATGGCAATTTCATATGGTCCAAACCGCTATTATTCATTTAGCTTTGTATTTCATTTTGTTAATTTGCTTCCGCATCTTTGATCTCTTCCTCACATGATCCTCCAGCAGCACAGTGACTTTAGTTACAGAGAATTTATATTGCACGGCAATTAAGAACTGTATCTCTAGGGCCAGGTTGCCTAGGTTGAAATCTCTGGCATATACCGACTGTATGAACTTGGGCCCGTTACTTATTCTTTTTGTGCCTCTATTTCCTCATGTATAAAATGGGAATCATAATAGAGAGTTGTTGCACGGAGTAAACGAGTTAATATATATAATCAATTAGAATGCAATTTAGTTTCTAGCAGTGGTTCTTAAAGTCAAAGCCAGGCTTAGCTCATTTATTACTGGCCTTCATCATATCTTTATGTTCCCCTCTTCACATGTAATTTGCATCTTAAATTGAGTGAGTCTTAAAATACACAAAAATAACAAATAACTTGCTTCACACCTCAGAGCATTTTAATTTTTCTTGCCTACTGTTCACTGTGGGAAATAGGAGCAAGTATTTACTGCTCAATTACTGTAGACCAGGCACTTTGCATGCAATCTCCTGTCTTTTTCAATAATTATGTATGATATTTCTATGCCAAGTTTCCAATGCAGCCTACAATAGTTGGGTTACAAGATGAGGATGCAAGCATATTGGCATACAGGGTTGTAAACTCTTGGCATTGCAGAAACTGCGCATTTTGTATCTCGAAAAGATTTATTTTCAAATAAATAAAATAATTACCATGCCCATTAGCCCTTGGTGCAGTTCCTTCCCTCATAATGCCTCTATTACATGCAGTCTTTGTCCAAGTGTTAAAATAATTGTTGTTTTCATTCCTTTGGGCAGGAGAGCTTTCATACACACTCATCAGATATTCTCTTTTTTATTTGCTTAATATAACCCAGTGAAGTGTTATTCTGCTTCAGTTTGTGCCTTGTATCACAACCACTGCTGTTTTGGTTAGACTCAATTTGCAGTATATGCCAACTATACTAGCAAATAAAGGCCTTGCCTTGCAATCAAGGACTTCCACCACACATGCAACCCTAGCTGGCTTCCCAGTCTCATCTACTCTTGCATGTCAAATAAAACCTAGCCTATATAAAAGCATATTTGACATTGTTGGTCATGTTTCTGTTCAAACATTGTTCTAATTATTGGCCTGCATGACCTTAGATTTCCCCTCCCAAACCTTTGACCTGTCTGTCTCCCTTCCTTTTTTTTTTTTTTTTTTTTTTTTAGATGGAGTCTTGCTCTATCATTCCTTCACCCAGGCTGGAGTGCAGTGGTGCAGTCTCAGCTTACTGCAACCTCCACCTCCCGGGTTTAAGCAATTCTCCTGCCTCAGTCTCCCGAGCAGCTGGGACTACAGGTGCATGCCACTATCCCAGCTAATTTTTGTATTTTTAAGAAAGACAGGGTTTCACCATATTGGCCAGGCTGGTCTCGAGCTCCTGACCTCGTGATCCACCCACCTCAGCCTCCCAAAGTGCTGGGATTAGAGACATGAGCCACCGCCTCCAGCCATCTGTCTCCCTTTCTTTTCTTCTCCTCATTGGTTGTGTCTGTGACCATTATGATAGGTTCAACCATCACCTCTACGTATCTCATCCACACGTCCTCACTTCTAGACCTGAGCTCTAAGTGCCAAGATGTAATCTTAGTAATCTAATCATGAGCCTGAGATTCTACATGACTGTTGATGGATGTTTCCACCCCGTGTCCCTCCACCAGAACACCTCACAGACAGCATTCTTAAAACCTTAAACCCATATTCTTCACACAAAACCATTTCCATTTCTCCTTTGTATTTTTCAATTTGGTTAATGACTGGGCTTTGAGGTTGTCCTGAGAATGTCATGAGAATGTATGAGAAGAACTTCTGTAAGTTTCATTCCACTATCCTTTCAGCAGGCAGAACCAATATTATCCATTTCAGACTGATGAGAGTACATCCTATTTTAAAAGTGATTTAAATGGAATGCTCCTCTTTGTTCATTCTCTATCCTTGCTATTGGCCATACAATCCAATGAGACCCCTCAACTTAAAAATTCAGGGTCATCTTTGATTCCTCTGCTGATGTGATCCAAAACATTGTAACATATCCTTGGTCTCATCCTCACTGAATTAGTGGGAGGGTCCCAGCACATAGTATAATATATTGTAGGCAGCTTCTCTCTTCCCTTATGAAATGAGTTCTTCTATCAAAGCTTTCCATGACATACCCTCTTCTCCTCCTCTCTGGATGCTACTAAGGCTCTCTCATCTCTTCTGGTAGTCCTTCTCTTCTTTCTTCTAAACCTCTTCTAGAGGAAAGTGTACAAGACAACAAAAACACATCTTATTTCTTTGCTTTTACCACATTGCTCTATATTATTTTCTTTTATGCTTCTTTTCTAGAGGCAGCATGTGCAGTGGAAGGAATATGAGTTTGGGACTCAGCCAGAATATAGACTGTGCTCTGTCACTTATTAACTTGTGCACTGCAATGTTACTAAATGTCTCCCATCGGTAAAGGGGAGATTGCATCACCTATCTTGAAGGGCTGATATAAGGATTCAATACTATATGGAATGTAATGTTCAGGTTCTGCACACTCAGCAGCTCTCAAACCCTTCATATTCCCATTAGTAGATAGGAAGACAAGAGATCTGTCCCCTGTTCTCCATCTCTTCCATCTCAAAGGCTCTGTGTGGTATTTACTGAGTGTCTCTGGCAGAAGCTCATTATTCTCCTCACCTTCTCACCAGTGGTTGCTCCTTTTTATTTATTTTCATTTTTTTAAATGAAGAAACCAAAGTTCACAGAAGTTACATGATTGGCTCAAAATACATACTTAAAAGATAATTTTGAGAAATTGTCCTTGGGAGAAATGTCCATAGATATAATAACATGCTTCGGTAATATCCCTCAGAGAAAGATTTCCACTAGTCCTTTTGTACTTTTCAGTTTAGTTAATGACTGGGCTCTGAGGCTGTCATAAGAATGTGTGAGAAGAACTTCTATAGTTCCACTATCCTTTCGCCAGGCTGCACCAGCTTTATCCATTTCAGACTGATGGGAGTACATCCTATTTAAAATGTGATCTAGATGGAAAAACTAACAATTTCTCCTTGGATGGACCATTCCAGTGTCAAACTTTCCTGACTTACAGGCCTCTAAAACAATTCTCCTTTGAATAAAAACAGGGGACAGATTATTTTCTAAGTGACACAGAAATCAAGAGCCTGAGCATTAGTTTCAGACAGAACTGGATTCAAATTTCACCTTCGTCCTTTGCTATTCATTAGCTGTGTAACCTTCAAAGAGTTACTGAACATCTTTAAACCAGGAACTTTAATACCTACTCCTAAATTTACTCTGAATATTAAATTAGGTTCATATTTGTAAAACACTTTTCAGCACTTGGCTCAGTGTAAGTGGCAAAAAAGTGGCAGCGAATGCAAAGGAACCACATGCTCCTTGAACAGATTTTATATTTATTACTGCAATAATGAAACAAAACAAAAGAAACACTGCTGAAATGATCACCAAACAGTTGTATGCAGTTACAACATATAATAATCTCTGAATAGTGATGACCACAGTTTGTCTCTTTTCATATTCCTTTTCCTTTTTGCTTCCAGGATGTAACATTGCTCTAATCTTTAATTTGCCAAAGAATTTAAGTGATCTGAAGAAAATAGTCAGTGTCTGCTTCTCTTTGTCTGTCATTAAATCTGTATTGCAAGAAAAAGAAATTATTTTTCCAGGTGTCCTCTTTTGGTTGTTTCCTTGATTTACATAAAAATGATGTCCTATCCTTGTCCCTCTTTTCCCCCAAATGAGGAGGACAATGAAGATCTGAAGTGCCAGCTGCAGTTCGTTAAGGAAGAAGCCGCTTTGATGAGAAAGAAAATGGCCAAGATTGATAAAGAAAAGGACAGATTTGAACACGAGCTTCAGAAGTACAGATCCTTTTATGGGGATCTGGACAGTCCTTTGCCCAAAGGAGAAGCTGGAGGCCCTCCCAGCACCAGGGAGGCCGAGCTCAAGCTACGGCTAAGGCTGGTGGAGGAAGAAGCCAACATCCTGGGCAGGAAAATCGTCGAACTGGAGGTGGAGAACAGAGGCCTGAAGGCGGAACTGGACGACCTTAGGGGTGATGATTTCAACGGCTCGGCCAACCCGCTCATGAGGGAGCAGAGCGAATCCCTGTCAGAGCTGCGGCAGCACCTGCAGCTGGTGGAAGACGAGACGGAGCTGCTGCGGAGGAACGTGGCCGACCTGGAGGAGCAGAACAAGCGCATCACTGCGGAGCTCAACAAGTACAAGTACAAGTCCGGCGGTCACGACAGCGCGCGGCACCACGACAACGCCAAGACCGAGGCCCTGCAGGAGGAGCTGAAGGCAGCGCGCCTGCAGATCAACGAGCTCAGCGGCAAGGTCATGCAGCTGCAGTACGAGAATCGCGTGCTTATGTCCAACATGCAGCGCTACGACCTGGCCTCGCACCTGGGCATCCGGGGCAGTCCCCGCGACAGCGACGCCGAGAGCGACGCAGGCAAGAAGGAGAGCGACGACGACTCGCGGCCGCCGCACCGCAAGCGCGAAGGGCCCATCGGCGGCGAGAGCGACTCGGAGGAGGTGCGCAACATCCGCTGCCTCACGCCCACGCGCTCCTTCTACCCGGCGCCCGGGCCTTGGCCCAAGAGCTTCTCCGATCGGCAGCAGATGAAGGACATCCGGTCGGAGGCCGAGCGCCTGGGCAAGACCATCGACCGGCTCATCGCCGACACGAGCACCATCATCACCGAGGCGCGCATCTACGTGGCCAACGGGGACCTGTTCGGACTCATGGACGAGGAGGACGACGGCAGCCGCATCCGCGAACACGAGCTGCTCTACCGTATCAACGCACAGATGAAGGCCTTCCGCAAGGAGCTGCAGACCTTCATCGACCGCCTCGAGGTGCCCAAGTCTGCGGACGACCGCGGCGCCGAGGAGCCCATTTCCGTGAGTCAGGTACAGTTCTGCCTATTGCGAGCCACGGCGGTGGCCAGGCTGGCCCGCGGAGCCGCGTCCCAGGGGGGCGTCTCGGCGCCCGGACTGCCGCGCCCCGCTTGAGGGAAGCACCCGCCCAGGGCCGCAGTGGGGCCTGAAACCCCCGGCCGGCCCACCCGTTCTTCCACACTGTCCTGCAGGGATGAGGTTTTGTGACTCCATCATGTAGTCACCATTTCTTCCTGTGTTTTGTTTAAAAGGAAAAGTTAACACCATTCATCACCCTCAATTTTTGTGGAAAGAGTAAAGGATTTTGGGATTTTGAGGCACAGTATTATTTTAGAAGGTCAATATTTTTCTGTTACTCTGCTAGCAGATGAACTGCAAGATGGTCCTGAATAGGAATATTTAGCTGCTGATTTGTGGTTTTCGAGTCAAGATCCATATTGAGTTTAGGATTTTAAAAAAATGACTAGACTGGTAGACCGAGGAGGGCGGATCGCTTGAGCTCAGGAGTTTGAGTCCAGCCTGGTCAGCAAGGCGAGATTCGTCTCTCCAAAACACAAAAAATTAGCCGGTTGTGGTGGCATGCACCTGTAATCCAAGCTACTCCGGAGGCTGAAGTGGGAGGATCTCCTGAGCCCAGGCAGGTGGAGACTGCAGTGAGTGGTGATTGCACTAGTGCACTCCAGCCTGGGCAAGAGTGAAACCTTGTCTCAAAAGAAAGAAAAAAGCTAAAACAGAATTGATGGCCGGTCACTGTGGCTCATGCCTGTAATCCCAGAGGCTGAGGAGGGCGGGAGGTCAGGAGTTGGAGACCAGCCTGGCCAACATGGTGAATACTAAAAATACAAAAATATACCCGTGTATACTAAAAATACAAAAATTAGCCTGGTGTGGTGGCGCACTCCTGTAATCCCAGCTACTCGGGAGGCTGAAGCAGGAGAATCGCTTGAACCCGGGAGAGGAAGGTTGCAGTGAGCCAAGATTGCACCACTGCACTCTAGCCTTGGTGACAGAGGGAGACTCTGTCTCAATTAAAAAAAAAAAAAAAATTAATTTAATTAAATAGAACTGATGGATAACTATTGGTAAATGTAGAAACCAGTGGTAAAGGGACATGATTTTGTGTCTGCAGCCCCCTGAAAGGAACAAATGAAAGCCACTTTTTTTTTTTTTACCATAAGTTTAAATAACATGATCATTATTTCCAGAGAAAAATCACTCTCAGTTGTATAGTGGAGAATCTCAGTACTGGGGAAGGAGTCTATACGGTAGCTTGAAGGCAACACTAATTCAGAGAAATAGTAATAACTATTCCAGAACAGGGAAAACCAGCATTTTTCCTCCATCCTGATTTGTAGAGGCACACCGGATGAATTGGACTGAGCTGCTTTGGCCAGGTATGGTGGCCATTTAAAAACCAATGCATTTTATCAGAGTTAACCACATGAAAGATAATTTATGAAACAAAACAGGCAATGCTGTTTCCTCTGGCAAGCCTGGTGTCCTGTATCCATTGGAGAACCCACGGAAGTACAACAGCATGCATGGCTTTTAAGACACGCAAGACATTTAAAAGCCAGTTTATGTACAGAAGCATGATTTTAGACTAACTGCCTGTTGGTACAGCTAGAAAAATTGCAACCCTATCGCTTATTTATCTTGCATGTTGCTCCGCTTTGCTATGAAAAATACTGTTTTATGATAAAACTTGTTGAATTTTGATATGTATTCAGTTATACCCTCAGGGAAAATAATAGAAATTAGAGTGAGAGAAAGTGCTATGTATAAAATTAGGCTTTCAGATTTTATAGATATAGGCTTAAGGGAGGGTGGGGGTTCTTTTGTATCTTAAGTTGAATGAATGCTTAAATTAGTTGATGTGAATTTAAGTTTTAAAGATTATTATTAATTAACTCTTCTCTTTGTCTTTGCATTTACCTTCCCAGATGTTCCAGCCTATCATTTTACTTATTCTCATTCTTGTATTATTTTCATCACTTTCTTACACAACAATATTTAAACTTGTCTTCCTTTTTACACTGTTTTTTGTACTGTAAATTTTTCACCATCTACCATTCATTGTAGTATTTTCAGTTTGTTTATTTTGTTCACCCTTCAAGACAAGAAGTAAAAGAAGTATAATTTCTGTAGTAACCAATGCTATAAAAACACTGAAGACTGCTTATTTCTTTAAAAAGACACAACTCATCTTACCACGACCAAATTCAATAAGAAGCCCAAGCACTAAAATATTTCAGGTAAGAAAGTAAGTGTGACATTTTTCTGTATGAATTGTTTTAATTTTGCTGCTTTTTCATCCTGTTTGTCTCCTCTTGATAAATAATTGGCATATTGAATATAAAAATGGACTACATGTCTCTTAATTATTTCTCAGTAGCTCACTATTATTATTCAAAAGCTGGACGAACATTCACAATTTGGTCACGTTTCCAAAAATTACATACATTTGTAAAGTACCTTTGCCAGGTTACATCAAACTAGCAAGATAATTTTGACATCCAATAAATATCTGAAAAAAAATATGGGAAATAAATGTGACCCTCATGGAAACTAAGTAATGTGTTGCAATGCCAATGTATTTTGTCTACAGAGATATGCTTGGAAGCATGAGATTGGATTAGGTCTTAGTTCATTTAGGAAACAATTATCCCCATCCTACTCTGTTTGACCAGATTCCCACCAAACCTGCCATTCCTGCTTTTACTTGTTATACTTGAATTCATGTATTGCTAATTGAACTTATTACTTGGAGTCCTATTCTCCATAATAGAATGCCTCCAGAGCAGGAAATGCTCTATAAATATGATATATGAATTGTTTTGAATAGGGAAAAAATACAGTCATTCTCTAGAATTTCATTAAAATATAGTCATTTTCTCAAAATCATTCGACCACAATCCAAGACTGGTAGCGTAGTTCTGGCAGGAGGTGCTCTCGAGATATAAACTAACTTCAGTAAACCTGAGCATCCCCCTTTCTCCTCATACCGAAAGTGGCCTGGATAGACTCCGTCTACCTAAAAGACCTATTCTGTCCATCTCATTGATAGTTTATCCAGTGCCACCCAAGAGTCAGCAATCTCCGCACTTGTTGAAGTCACATATTTGTAAATACTCACAGGCTGGTTGATGGATATGAAAATCTGTGGAAAGTCTGCAAAAGAATATGTGGAAAACTTCGTTCTAAAAGTTGCTATTGGTAATGGGCCTTGGAATCTCCAGGAATTTAACTTTCAAGGGACTCTGATTTATTTATCGTCACATCCTCCCACACATCCATTTGAATATTAATTAAACAAACAAACAAAAAACCTTCACAATAGTCTAAAACTTTAGTTTAGAATAACTGCTCTTACTGTCTACAGGGTTTGTTTGGTTTTGGTTTTTGGTTCTGTTTGTTTTTTGATAGGGGGAGGAGAGACTTGGAGTGAGGAGTTGTTAACCAACGGTTGGAATCTGTCAGTATGCACTTCTGGCTTTTCATTTTAGAGATTCAGAGAGCTAGGTAAAACTTCATTACAAAAATGAATGAAATGAGATAAATGCCATGTTTAATCAATTATATATAACTCAGGTGTTTACTTTTTAAAATTTTTCATCTCAGGGATAACAAACACTTTAAAACCTAAAGTTTGTCTGTTAGATCCATGGTAAGTTTCCAGGCCACCATTTCAGGAAATGAAAGTAAATGTTTGAGGGCTGAAATTTAGCTGAAATATTTATTGTCTTTGGAGCCAGTTACACCTGTTAAAAGGCTCTCAGCCACCTACAGAGCATTTGGAAGTGTGTGGAGTGTTGCAGGTTATTACAACGACTGGAAAGCTTGCTGGCATTTAGACGGAAGGGATCAGAACTTCAAGGTCCCTGAAATCCCACATCACAAAGAATTGTCTTGTCCAAATTGCTGATATTATCTTTGCAGATAAATGTGATATGGTATGCACTCACTCACTTCAGAAGCATCATGCATATTCACTACCCTGTGTGACTTTAAGAAACTGGCTTTAGATTTTAGTTTTATCATGTGATGAATCAAAAATGAAATAACTAGATCGTAGTTGTCAATGCTAGCTGCACATCAGAATTTCTGGGAAGTTTTTAATTGGGGACCTACTCCATACTAATTGAAATAAAATGTACGGACCTAGGCATCTGTATTTTTTTAAACGCCCCAGAACCACTACTTTTAGATATTTGAATTGTCTAAAATGCACGTTTGATATAGCCCCAACAAAGCTTACAGTAAACTATGTGATACTAAGATATAGGATCATTAGTTGTCTAGGTTTTAGTAGACTTTAAAATTTCAGCTGCTCAGTGGATGTCTGAATTCTCTCCAGAGCATTTCCACTTAGTTGTACAGCCTTTGCCAGAAGGGATATCACCTCCAGTGATAAAGCAGTTATATTTCTGCACTGGTGGTGGTGCCAGAAAACTTGGCTTGCATTAATACAAGTTCTCAAAAACACAGAATCAAAGGTAAATAGGAATAGTACCCAACAGAAAAGAGAACCAAGGTGAATAGTGTGTGGGCACAGCGTCACACAGCCACTGAGAGACATAGGCACGTGTGCACACTGAGTTCAGGCTCAAGATGATCCCACAGTGATCTAACACGTTATTACAACAAAATCCCTAGGCATTCTCAAGTGGACTGACACCATAAATATATGCAAGGGTGGTGCAAACAGCTCAGTGATAACTTGTGACCTGAATAGGGAAGGAGAGCTGTCTGGGCTAACCAAAACACCAGCCTCAACTGTAGATCTCATTTTAGGAACTGTGGTCATGTTCCTAATGTTGCCCTTCTGACAACAGTGGTATTAATCTTACCTGTGAATTCCTAAAACAGTGATAAGGTTTGACTCTGTGTCCCACTCAAATCTCATCTTGAATTGTAATCCCCATGGGTTGAGGGAGGGACCTGTAATCTCCACATGTAGAGGGAGGCAAGTGATTGGACCATGGGGGTGGTTTCCCCCATGCTGTTCTCATGATAGCAAGTGAGTCCTCACAAGATTTGATGGTTTTATAAATGTTTAGAAGTTCTTCCTTCACTCCTGTCCACTGCCACCTTGTGGAGAAAGTGCCTGCTTCCCCTTCCACCATGATTGCAAGTTTCCTGAGGCCTCCCTAACTATACAGAACTGTGAGTCAAACCTCTTTCCTTTATTAATTACCCAGTCTCAGGGAAGCTCTTTATAGCAGTGTGAAAGTAGACTAATACAGGCAGTGATTTTATAGAATTTCATGAGACTCTTGAACCTCATCCAGATCCTCCATATGTGAAACTCCTGTGAAATATTGGGGAGAGGAAAGTCGGCTGAAGCAGGACTGACTTTACTGCTCACAGATTCTGGGGGCTATAGGATCATTCCAACAGCTCCTCTGAAATTAGTGAATCAACTTTACTGAACAGTTGAATTCCAGGAAGGCTCTTTTCCACTCTGCCCCACTCACTGCATAGACCAGCCTCCCAGTTGTGCCTGTGTGTACACACACAGATCCATCACACTGCGGTGTATAATGAGAAATGCATCCAGGGTCAGGGCATTCAGACCTGCCTCTATCTTAGGGGACATGCTGGGGACCAGTTGGTGGAAGGTGGGGTCAGAAAATTGCCAGCAGGCACGAAGTGACCTTTTTCCTTGCCGTCTTTTCCCTATAACTTAAAGCTGTTCAGCGGGCACCCCGTATCCAGGATGCACCTATCTCTTAAAGCATAGAACATAAACTTGGGACTATAAGTTAACAAAGATGGTGCCCAAAACCTCAGAAAGAGAATCCCCAGCATCATCCCCTTTGATCCTGTTGCTTGCATTATTTTTGTTGTATTAAGCTGTTTCTGAAAGAGGAACAACGAGGCTTCTTCATTCACCAAGAGAGAAAAGACCCTCAATTATTAAGACAAGGCGTTGTCTTTTGTTTGGACCTTTGAAGCGGTGCTATTTAAACATCACACCAAACTAAACTCAACAGAGCAAGCCTTATTCTAGAAAATTCTCTTGTATGCACATTCTTGGCCATAGGAAGAAGTGTCTTCTTGTTAATTTGGCCTAGATCTAAGAAAAAATGGAATTCAGTTGGCTATTTTTAAGCATAAGTAACTAAACTCATAAAACAAAGGAAAATTCAGTCCTGAGCCTGGAATGTGTTTTGGCCTGCATTCTCTAATCTTCAACTTTAGTTTGTGTGGTAGAATGGGATATGCTTATTTAATTAGCTACCAACGACGTTTGGACTGTCAGTTTGGTAGCTCAACCTTAATTCCAAATATTCATGCAGTGTTTGTAACTGCATTCTGATAGAACTACAGTCCAGTTCATCTAGCAGAGTCATACTTTGTGTCAGACACCATAAGTGAATGTAGAGATTGAAGAGAAGGTAGTGGAGAATGTACCAGAAAGTAAGAAAAGTCGATCATTTATTGAACTACTGGGACATGGTACAGTTAAAACATAGTATGCATGAAGACATAACTGCTTAAACCCTAGTTGTAAACCAATTAGGTCTAATGAAAGATAGAAAACTTTCTGCGGTTTTAATTTTGATCTGGTTTTCGATAGGTAAAGTAATGTCATTCACATTTTGATGAAACACATTTCATGGGTAGGTCCTGACATTCTCAGCAGTCTACTTGTAGAATTTCAGATAAAAACTCATACAAAATAGAATGTGTCATGGCCTGGAGATGGCAGAACACCTTTGTAGTTACAGTAATAAATGTGGGAATATCTTAAATGCTTCTAAACTGTACTTTTGTGTTGATCAGTTGAGAGAAGGGAAAGTGGTAGTGGCTGTTTTTCATGTTTGCCATTTTGAAAGTGTGTGCAAATCACAGAATCTCTAAAGGTCCTTTCCATGTAACTTAAATACATTTTCATCCATGTCTTCCCTGCTTAAAGGTGTATTTTCTGTACTCACTGGCAGTTCTAGCCTGTGTCTGTCCTAGTG